CTGGTTTTATTGAAGTCCGATTGTGATGAGCTTGTTGCTGTGTAAACGGAGTAAAAGCCTCGGTGCACTTTACATTTAGAATCATCACCAAAAATGTATGGAGCATCATTCAAAAGGATTTGAAGATCTTTGATCCATTCCATGACCTGCTCAGTTCCTCTCCAGGCCACCACAATGTCCCTCCTCCCTAACACGGCTTTGCCTTCATCGGTGGCCACCGCGACATACCCCATCCAGTTTGATTCTTCGACATCGTCTAGAATATGAAAATCGATCTCTGACGTTGCGTAGAGGAACTTCGTCACCTTATACTTGAAAGGATTTCCTTTTTCTAAACCCACTTTGGAAAAGAAATCTCTTTTCCCATAACGGCTTCTTCTTGCATACTTGGATGCTTTATCAGAGTTAAACGCATCATAAGTAGCTTCAGCCATTTCTCCGTAATGTATTATGTACCTACGGAGATTGACATCAAGTGGGTCTAACAAATCCTTCCAATTATTTTGGCCACTAAGTTCTCTCCAGTTTGTTTCGATGCTTCCAGGTCTGGCCATCTGCTTTTTCTCTTCCTCATGTTGATCGGCCACTTTATGAGAACTCATGGCTTTGCTTGCAAAACTACCCATCTTCTTCTTCTGCTCCTCCTTCTCTTTCTTCTTTCTGTTCGCTTTTCTTTGAAATGAAATGTTATATGAACTGCAGTGAGGTCGATTTATGATGAGGAAGCCTGGTTGTGCATGCTTATATACTTGAAAATGCTGACCTGATCGTCCTTCCCTTGCATGGTCAAAGTCGTTGAATCTTGATTTGAAAAGTAATCGCCTTCTGACCAAATCATGCTTGCTCAGTCTGTTGAGACTGTTAGGTTTTAAACTTCTTTATTTCATTCGCAGTAGTTTCGTACGAAGGGGACTAGAAGTTGACTATTAGGTACAAATGTTTCTGTCATGCTGATACATCTATTTAACGTTCTTTGGGACTCAGGTTGATTTTGGTTCTGAGATCAATTGCTGTAACAGGACTTCGATATATGAATATGCAAAAACAGAGGTCCTGAAATTTAATGTTGATATGTTTGTGCACGTGGGTGTGTTTAATTGTATAAAATAGAAAAATGTGTTACTTGTTAATTAAAAGGGAGAATTGTAATCAGATTTTAGAAAATAATTTAATTACCTCAAAATCTATTGGTAATTAATAGGTTTGTGTTAGTTATTTGTTATCAGGATTTTTTGATAATTAAATTTTCTTTTCCTTAGGACCTCATGATACTTCTCCCTGTATAGAAATGATGTGGTGACATCATCTTCCATGCTCCGTCTTTTTAAATCTTTTAGTTTCAGAATTCATAAAACTTAACTTTGATAATGACGCGATCTTTCTGAGAAATGGTGTAATTGATGCGTTAGAACTAGACTGTTAGGTTTTACGCCTATGGTGGTCCGTGCGAGACTACAAGCTAGTTGGACTGTTAGTTCTTTCGTCTTCTTTTTTTTCCCTCCTGGTGTTCTTTTTACTGTGGCAGTCTATAGCCATCTTCGTTCGTTTACAATATCAGCTAGCTAGTTTTGACGTTGAATATTTATTATAATTTAAAGAATTAATATATTCTTTTTTTTAATCATGCATAATATATGAGATATAGCGGCCACGTTCAAAACGTGTGACTCAGGAGTTGATAATTAAATATGTAATGGTTGCAGAAAATGTCATGCTAATGCATGGAAGATAATATTAAGGCTAACTCCGCGGACAAAATTCGTGGCATTGATTTTTATTTGTGAAATTTTGTTTGGCGATTATTATAGTTGCACGGCTTAGTCAAAACCAACAATTTAATATTTTCAAATGTTACCCTGGTTAATTGTACCTCTTTTATCTGGCTTGAAAAATTCGTATGGTGATTGGGAAATCGGAATAAATACATACTCCTCCAATTCTTAATGTAAAAATTAATTAACTAATTAAAATAGATTAAGGATGTTAGTTGAATTAGTTAGTATGATATTACCTATGATCCTCAATATAAGAGTTAGTTAACTAATTTGAGTAGAATAAGAAAATTAGTTAAGTTAATTATTTGTAATAAATAAGTATTGTTTTTTTTAAAATATCCTTATTAATCAAGTATATTAGTTAGAACTATCTTAGGAAAAAAATGAATAAATATGAGAGACAAAGTGAATTAGGGTTTTATATTTAATACCAAAATAAAAGTCAAACAAGCTCTTATATTAAGGACTAGAGGTAGTATGTTTTTTCTAAAACACCCTAGGCATCTTTTTAATTTCCTTCCTTCCTCTTCTATTTGATTATTGTTGAGGGAACATCAATAAGCTTAATTTGAAAAAAAGTTGATAATCATATGACATATGTCTTATTTAGTACCAACATTAACCGTCTAATTAAGTCTTATATTAAGGGTTAGAAGAGTGTGCGTCTATGCATTGTGACTGAAAATCCTTAATACGAAAAAGCTAGAAAAAAGGCAAAGCCAATTACAAAGACCTACCTATAAGGACCAGAGGCTTATTGCAAAGGAGTTAAACAAATACGTACATGCTTTCAAAACAACTAGAAATTTCTCCCCGTACGATGCATGAGTTAGAATATTTGATTAAATTTTAAATTTTAATAAATTGTATCATCTAAGGTAGTTTAAGATTCACTTTTTATAGAAATGTGATTTTTTATTCATTTAAATAACATTTGAATTAGAGATTGAGAAATTAAAAGGACCATATGAAAATTTAAATTTATTTATTTATTTCTCCATTTAAACCCCCCAATTGACATACTATTTAATCATGATACTTCCCATTTAATTTATTATATTCAAATTCCAATTAAAATATTATTCAAATTCAAAATTAATTATTAATTTTTTCATTTGAGTCTTCAATTGAAATCCCATTTAATAATGATGCCCCCCATTTAATTCAATATACCCAAATCCCAATCACAATATTATTCAAATCTTATTAATTAAATATATTCGGATATCATAATATTATATTCGACTCGTTTTTAAATGAACTGGGTATTACAAGTTTTCAAGAATATAGTTGATGATAGTTGATTTTTCCTTGATCTATTGAAGGAAAATGACACCGAGGACCATAGAAAGCAAAATTTAAAAGAAAAAAATAATAGTAATTAACTATGAGTTTATGAAATTATGTGTGTGTATGTGTATATAAATATATAAGCATCAAGGTTGAAAATAAAAGGCAACTGAATGAGAATGCAACATAGTCCAACTATAAATTCCGAAAAGTTTGTTGTAAGTATAGGAGAATTAGTCATAAAAATTGGAAGATTATTTGCTAAATTAATTTGAAGTTTTGTAAACCATGGAAAATATGTAACATGGCTTGCGCTAAGGATCTTAATTAATAACGTTTAGTTGTTTATGAACCACTTGTGAGCTACTAGAATTTTGGGAAAGACCAACCTTTAAAATTTTTCTCAAAAGCTACACTATTCTAATACTCATTGTGTGAAAATGAAATTTCTCTGATAAACTTTACACATTCATAATTAAATTGTTATAAATTCAAAATCAGAGGTATGAAACTCTAATTTTCAGCTCTTTAGCAATTTTTTTTTTTTATAAATTTTAGAACCGAGTTCATTTCAACTAATTTACCTGTATATAATCAGTTCAAATCTAGCAGGTCTATCTGAATATATCTATTAGTCTGAATCATGGCACCAGTATCTGATTACATTCATTCAACTTTTACTTCTTATGGAGCTATTTACAACCCAAAAACGTACCAAAGTTTACATTATAAAAGGTAATTTGAAAAACAGCTAAATCATAAAAGTTGGCTTCTTTCCATAGTCCACCTTAGCTAAGCCTTCTGCAGCTTCTCGTCTCGAGGTACTTTTGGTCCCATGGTTAATACAAAGAGGGGGGGGGTGAGATTCGAAGTAATCATTAGCAATAATCATATTTCAATAAATAATGCGTGGTAAACAAACCAGGCATGCAACACATGACACATAGAAAAACACCTTACATATATGGTATCCAACAAAATTTTCTGAACAATGAGGAACACAACAACTATAAATTCATCAGGAGTTTTAATTACAAATGAGACATTTAATTTTCAAATGTAACTCTCAATTTATAACTGAGATTTCTGTTTGTCATTGTCTAAATCGATATTTGGAACCCATTTATTTTCTAAATATTTCTGAAGACTTGACTGTTTTTAATTAAACCTTTTGGGACTTAAATGTCATTCCTCAAGATTTATGGGTTAATAAGGGTTATTTTCCTTGGAAGTTTTAGTAAAGGAAATGTGAATATTTGAAAGTTTTTCTTCTTGTTTTTTTTTTTCCAACTCAATGTCTCCCCGGAGGTGTTAAAAAAGATGCAATGTCGCCTTACTCTATAGTATGTAGCAACCCAAACAGATGTTTGAGCCTTATGCCACGTATGATTTTGCTTAGGCATGACCATGCTTTCTTCTTTGAGTTAAACGCCACTTTTGTCAAGCATTTGTAAAGGAACAATAGGTATTCGAAAGTTTCTTTCCAACTCAGATTTACAGGGGAGAAAAAATTGTGATCCCTCGTCTTCTTGGCAATGGCTACACGCTCTTCATCGGAGACACAGCGTTTTCAAGGAAAAACAGGCCCCTGGCTACTTCATCCCATTGTCTCACTAGAAAAGGGGGTCATGGTTGTGGCTTCCCTGAGAAAATTGCATCCCTGGTCACTGCCATTGCTCTAGAGAAGCTATTTTATATCCCTTTAAAATTTCGATTTCTTCATGCAAATCAGTGTTAGAATCATTAGTAACTCATGTATACACTTTTATCGTCTATGAGGTAAGAAATATAACAAGAGTTTTAATATTGCAATCAATGAATTTAATTAATGAAATAAATGAATACAAACATTTCTCCACTGAAACATTTAGTTGTTTAAAAGAATCAAATTAATAATTCAATCAAATAATTAATAAATTAGAAAGAATAAATCCACTAAACATCATCATCCTCAGATTCTGATTCTGGTTCTTGCATCTTCCAAGTACCATCGGGCTGTTGAGCCAATCCCTTGTTTGGATCAATCCTCCAAGCCTTAGGGATATTATACTTATCCTTCAAAGCATCCGTGCCTTTGTTCACCAGTGCAATATCCCTTTTAACCTCTAAATTAAATCCTCCTTTGCTCCCTTGTGTTCCTGCAACTCCATGCAAGTAAACCTCCAAATTATGCCAACTCTTCACATTCCCTGGTTGTTTTAAGAAGTTTGACTTTTGAGTATCAATGATTAACTCTTGTCCTACTTCTGCATAACCCCAGAATGGGTGCCTCGGAACAATATCTTTTTTGTTACGGATTCGTAGTATCCGAAGATCCTTTTGGCCTGAGGAAAACTCCTGGAAGTCTGAGTCCCCAACTCTAGGGCTTGCAAATACAATGGCTGTGACAGGACAAGCTTTGAGAGGTTCATTTTCTGGGATGTTACATCCATTTGTGACTATGTCCACTGCGTTTAGTGTTGCAAGGGCTGCGCCTAAGCTGTGTCCAGTTACTGTTATGCTGATTTCCTCATCCTTATATTTATCGACCAGTCTTGTAATCTCAGTTAGGACCTGCAGAATGAGAGATCATGAATATTAATTATTTTCCTTCATGAATACGATCAGATATATATAGTGATGGGTTTCTGCCAGTCACATACTGAAACATATGTATTATACCTGAGTTCTTGCACTGGCTTGGTTGAAGTCTAATTGTGATGAATTAGTTGCTGTGTAAACGGAGTAAAAGCCTCGGTGTACTTTGCATTCAGAATCATCTCCAAAAATGTATGGAGCATAATTCAAACGAAACTGAAGATCTTTGATCCATTCCATGACCTGTTCAGTTCCTCTCCAAGCCACCACAATATCTCTCCTCCCTAACACTGCTTTGCCTTCATCAGTGGCCACCGCGACATACCCTATCCAGTTTGATTCTTCGACATCGTCTAATACGTGAAACTCAAGCTCTGAGGTTGCATAGAGGAACTTTGTCACCTTATACTTGAAAGGATTTCCATTTTCTAAACCCACTTTGGAAAAGAAATCTTTTTTTCCATAACGGCTTCTTCTTGCATACTTGGATTCTGTATCAGAGTTAAAAGCATCATAAGTAGCTTCAGCCATTTCTCCATAATGTATTATGTACATACGAAGGTTGATATCCAGTGGGTCTAGCAAATCCTTCCAATAATGCTGGCCACTAAGTTCTCTCCAGTTTGTTGCAATGCTTCCAGATCTGGCCATCTGCTTCTTCTCTTCCTCGAGCTGATCTGCCACCTTGTGGGAATTCATGATTTTGCTTTTGCTTGCAAAGCTACCCATCTTTTTTTCTTCTTCTTGTTTCTGTTCGCTGTTCTTTGAAGTAGAATGGTTTATGAAATACAATGAGGTTGATTTATGATGAGGAAGGCTGCTTTTGCATGCTCATATATATACTTGAAAACCTTGACTTCGTCCTTTTCTTTCATGTTCAAAGTTTTGCGCTTCTTTAAAACTTTACTTGAAATTTCATTATATTATTTTATTCGTAGTATTTTAGTACAAAGGGAATTAGCAGTTGACTATTAGGTACTTGTGTTTGCGGCGTGCAGATGTTATATGTTTTTTTTTTTTCAAACGCTTGTTGGGACTCAATGGTTATATGGAGCAAAATTTAATATATGAATATGCACAATTAAAGGCATTAAGACTCACAATATTTATATAGTATGATTCATGTTAAATTCTACTGGCCCAATTTTTAATATAAGAAGTAGACAAAAGGCTCATTCTGGTTTTAAATATAAAACTTTAATTCAATTTGTCACCCAAATTTATAATTTTCTCCCCAAAATAACCCTATTGATTGTAAATATCAAGGGTTCCATTAAAAGGGTAATTATAATGCACACGGAAAGGTCAAAACCCATTTATTACAAATAAATACCTTAACTAGTTTTTTTTAATATCCTCAAATTAATTATCTAGCTTTTATATTCAGAATTTGAGATGGTGTGTCAAAGCATGCAATGAATATCATTTCTATTTTTTGAGAGTCCTAGATTTCGCATGATTGATCCGAATACGTGGGAATGATTAGACAACCTCATCCTTCATGCTCCGTTGGTGTTTTTTGAATTCGTAAATACTTCGATTTGATAATTATACTATTTTTCTATGAAATGGAATGTAATTGATGTGACAGTATTAGACTGTTAGGTTTTACATTCTGTGACGGTCCGTGCGAGGCTATTTATATAAGCTAGTTGGACTGTTAGATTTCATTGGAGCATTGTAGCCACCTTGGTTTCGTTTAGTCGTTTCCCTTTTTTTAATTGATATGATTCAAGTGGAATAAAGTTTAATTCCTTTATCTTGAATGATATGGAAGATATAGTGGCCATGTGGTCCATATGCTTGTTCAAAATAAGTAACGTGTCGAACAAAATGTTATATTAATGGAAATGGTTATGTCAAATTAATTAGTTGACAATTCAAATTATTAATGAAGTTATTTGTGCCTAATGTGACCAAATTAAAGTTTTGATCAGCAAATCATTTTATGAGATAATTGTAATTGCAAGTCTTCACACCTATAGTTTACTATTACCTCCAATCTTTAATATCGAAGTTAGTTTAACTTTTAATTTGATCCTAAATATACGATTCCAATCTATTTTGTTTCTCATATTTATCCTTTTTTTCCCCAAGGTAGTTCTTGTAATAGTTGCACGTATTAAAAGTTTTATCAAATGATAGTTTTAACCAAGGGTATTTTAGGACGACAACATCTATTCGTTATAAATAACTAACTTAACTAATTTTCTTAATCTACTTCAATTAGTCAACTAGCTCTTATATTAAGAATTGGAAGTAGTATTTTCAAATTGCTCGGTGGGTGCAGTTGGACATCTATTTTAATTTTAAGTTGCTCGGTGGGTCTAGTTGGAAATCTCTTTTATCTGGCTTAAAAACACTTAGTGCAGCTTAAAGTACTGCATGATTAAGGACCAGAATTTCTTTTGTCTTTCTAGTGATACAGGAAACCCACCACCGGTATCCCGTGCTCATTTTAGGCCCTGATCTTCTACCTACATATGCATTTTCTGAGAATTGAACTTATATTCTGATTCTTACAGGAAGCATTAGCCACTTATCACTGCACCAAATATTTGTCCGTCAATTTGAGTTTTTAATACACATTCATATAATAACGCTTTAAAAGGGACAGTTTTACAAAAGAAAATTTGGCTGACATGGAACGAATCTAAAATCATAATGATATTCATACAATTTTTGCCATTATTTTTCCTCGAATTCAATCTATACTTAGTTTTGGAAATGTAGAGTATATTAATTATGACAAGGAGAAAGTGAAAGCGAGATGAAAAATATAACAAGAAAAAAATTGAAAAAAGAGGAAAACAAATCAAATAGAATGCTTTCATCAACAAATTTTGAATTAATTAGGATAATTTGTCGGAAGGATTTGAGATATCAAAGAATGTCACTAAATGGCAAATAGTATAGCGCCCAACCTTTTTTCCCAATAATTGTTTAAATACAAATAATCAATACATGATATTAGGAATATTAGAGATCTCTTCACGCTCTCGAGTTTCGACTCTCAACCATGTCTTCACGAATGCTTTTCATCAAGATTAGTTCTCTTTTCTATCTTTATCGTGGCCTTGCATTAAAAGAAAAACTAAATTTTGGTATAATTTTTATCACAGTGAACAATATTCCGTTAAATATTTCAAAATATTGTTCATTTTCGTAATTAAAATCATATTAAATTTCTTAAAAAAAATTGAAACTACTAAATTTCTGTCAAATGATGGAATGTCTGGTTTATCTGCCTTAACAATCGAAGAATGAGTAATTAATTAGCGCCAACGTTTTCATGGGGAAAATAACGGTATCTGACCCCACAATTCCCTTTGGTCTTTGTCGTTCAACGCCAACGTTTTCATGACAGCCGCGTTATGTCACGCCTGACACACCAGTTTCTCTCCAAACCAACCCTCCATGTCAAGCTCGCATGAGGATGAAATCGCCCTCAAAAACCTTGGTGACCCTCATTAAACCCAACCCTCTCTTTGTCCTCTCTTTGTTATACCGATTAGATTATGCAACAAATGATTTCCTTGTGCTTCATGGTTGTGAAGAGAGAAAAATTGGAGGAAATGAGAGGATAAGAGAAGGAGTGGAAGCTTGAGTTGAAGGTGCTATTAGAGGAAACAAATAGGAATGAATTGATGTTATAGCTATAAGGTAAAATTTTTCCTCCCCTTGCGCGTCAGAACTTGGCTCTCTTTAGGGAGCCATTTACTGCCATTTTCTTTTTTGATTTTAGGCTATAATAAATGCAGCAGATTCTCATGCTTGCACGGTTTGCTCACATTCTCAAGGGAGGCTTGATGTCTATTAAATTTGTAAATTCTATCCAAAAATCTGCAGCTGACTGATACAATAAGGGGTATGACTGGGTGGTAATGTTCTGAATTTTAAAGATACCCTCTTCCTTGCACCGTTTTGATAGATCATTGAGGGCCTGAAAATCTTTTTCGATGATTATTTCTTCGTTGTAAAGTCTTCTGCGAGTTGGGTTTTAATGGTGAAAAACTTGGGATTTCAATCGGAGGGAAAAATAGATACACATATTGCAAGTACTCCATATTCTCTCTTACAGAATGAAGTGAGATAGAGTGGGATGGCCAAAAAAAAGAAAAAAAAGTCATAGTGGATTATGGAATTTTGGGGATTTAATTTGCTTGAGTGATGATATGTAGTTGTGAAATTGTTGAAGAAATGAGTTGAAGTATGTTTTTCTTTGAGAAGTACGACGTGCAGCAAACTGAGATATACAAGTATAGCATTTAAATCCTCGTAAGATCCTGGTTAGTTTGAGGGTAAAATTGTGGTGTGGAAATGGAATGTGAACTCGGCTAATTTCTGAAGCTCTGTTTGGCTCTGTTTTGTGCTGTTTTTGGCCGTGCTACAAGGCTTAAATAGCATTGTTGTTTTAGGACTGCATCTTTGTGAAAATATTTTTCCATTCTTTGAGCAATTTTGTGAACTGATTTTGTTGATGAAAGCTACTTCTGGTTCTGTTTTGTAACCATATAATGTGCATAAAGGGTGATGCATTGGTATTCTTTTGAAGCCATGTAAGAGCTATATGTTAATTGTCTTTTTGGTGCTGCTTTGTTGCTGACTTGTGGACAAAAAATTTGGAGGAACGTGTATTTTTACTATATGACTGTCATGGTGACTAAAATATGTTGTTGAAGTAGTGCTCATATAGGAGTGATAGCATTAGAAATACATGGCCACTGGTTTGACTTGTACTGATTGAAATTGTTAAATGTGATGGTTATGTGCTTAAAAGGTAATGATAAGTGAAATCGGTGGACTAATATAATGCCAAACTTTCAATCAGCACGCATGAGGCCGAACTAGTACCGTAAATTGATGGTGTATGAAAGGCCTCATTGTCAGAGTAAGCATTTAGAGTTATGGTGCCAACACTAACACAAATAGGACTTACAAGGAGAAGAGTTTAACACAACTAGGACTCACTAAAAGTAGAGTTTCATCTTGACCTGAGGTTACAGAGCCATGGCACTAGTAAATAATTTGTTTAGTTTGCTTCAGACGGGAAGTTTAATGGCAGAGGAAGTGGAGTGGAGTGATTAAGGAACTAAAAGTTCAAATTTCCCGGATTTATCAATGTATTGAAGATGGATATTTCATAATTTTATTTAAGGTTGTATATTTATCCAAGCAAGTACAACGATAATGAAGCTAGGTTTTATATTTTGCTGGTAAATTTGAGCAAGGGGACTAGTTTGAGGGTGTAATGATTAATGATAGGAAAATTGTGCATAAATGTAAATGTTTGGTCCATTCTCATGTTTTAACATAGTGTATGACCAATTATGACTTAATTCTGCAGTGATTTTGGTTTGACTTCTTTTATAGGCTGCTTGTAAGTACAATAAAATTCAAGTCAATATTTTAGAGTTCAAACTGTGAAGAGCTGGAATAAAGATTTGAATGGACTAAGTAGTGCAAGTTCATATATTGCTAAGCTTACTTCAATAGGAGTGATTTTTTCTTCCCTGTAAGATTGAGATATTAAAGACTGAAACGGATTAATTACGTACTGACAAGTTATCGACCATGCAAATATCAATATTTTTATATTTTTGGGCGAAAAATGTTAATATTCTCATGGACATATGCAAAAGATAGTCAATCTTAACATAGCTTACATGCATATATGAAAGTATTACTCCCAAATGGGACAAAACAAAAGCTTGAATTTGTAAGCCCTAGGTTAAATGATGACAACATATATTAATAGAACACAAATTGCAACAAAACGGAAAATAACATGTATAGACACCATATACATCTATGAACAAAAAATAAAAAATTTAGAGACCTGACATACATCTATAGCAATGACCTTCTATGCATCTCTAGCAGCAACCCTTTATGCACAGACCCTATTATAAACATCCATAGCTGGGACATATACACAGACCTTATATGCATAATGTAACAGTGAACATATACACAGAACGCGTATCATTGGCAGATAAAATCATCTTCCTCAGAATCTGGATCCTGCATCTTCCAAGTACAATTAGGTTGTTGTACCAATCCTTTGTTTTGGTCTATCCTCCATGCCTCGGGAATATGGTACTCATCCTTTAATACACCCAAGTTCTTGTTAACAAGTGGGATGTCCCTATTAACCTCTAACTTGAATCCTCCTTTCTTCCCTTGTGTTCTACCCCGTGCAAATAAACTTCCAAATTATGCCAAACTTTCACACCCCCTAAATGCTTTAGGAAGTTGGATTTCAGAGTATCAATTTCCAGCTCTTCTCCAACTTCTGCAGAATGCAAGCTAGGTAGCCTAGGTACAATATCTTCTTTATTCCGAATGCGTAGTGTCCGAAGATCCTTTTGAGCAGAGAAAAACTTATGAAACTGTGAATCTCCAATCCGTGGACTGGCAAATACAACTGCTGTTACCGGGCAGGCTGTCTGAGAATCATCCTCTTGGATGTTAAAGCCATTGCCGACTATATCTACTGCATTTAGTGTTGCCAGTGCAACATCTAAACTATGACCTGTCAATGCTGATTTCTTCACCTTTGAATTTATGCAGGAGTCTTTTGATCTCAGTTAAGATCTGTACAAAATTAAGAGTCCAAAAAAATGCAAATTAAGTTTGGGCTCTAAATAAAATGTAGTATATGAAATTATAAAACTCAACTATATACAGTCTAGCCTATGAAATAACAAAAATAATAGTCTTCTATTACATGTTTGAATTTGTTTTCACTTTTTTTGACATTGCAGAATGTTCATATAAATTAATAAATTATAATAACAGTGATTACCTGGTTTTGCACACTTGTTCTGTTGAGGACAACTGGGTCTGTTGCTGTATAAATGGAATAAAAACCTTGATGCACTTTACACTTAGCTTCATGACCAAAAAGACACGCAACATCATCAAGGAAGAACTGAAAATCCTTAATCCATTCCATGATTTGGTCAGTTCCTCTCCAAGCAATCACAATGTCCCTCCTCCCTAACACAGCCTTGCCTTCATCAGTAGCCACAGCAGCATACCCAATCCAGTTTGATTCTTCAACATCACCATATATGGGAACGTCAATCTCTACGGTTGCTGATAGAAACTTTGTTACCTCATACTTGAAGGGATTCCCATTCTCCAAACCCACCTTCGAGAAGAAATCTCTTTTCCCATAACAGCACCTTCTGGCATATTTGGATTTTTTATCAGAGATGAAAGCATCATATGTAGCTTGAGCCATTTCTCCATAGTGTATTATATGTCTGCGAAGATCAACATCAAGTGGGTCAAGCAGACCCTTCCAGTGATTTTCACTCCTGTTTGGAAAAGCATTTCCGTTCACTGTGTCTGTGTACAAAAATGTTTCCTATTTCGTAATTTTCTAATTGATTTACTAAATTGTTTCCTAATTGATTCACTAAATTGTTTCCTATTTTGTGGTTTCCTAATTGATTTACTAAATTGTTTCCTAATTGATTCACTAAATTGTTTCCTATTTTATGGTTTCCTAATTGATTTACTAAGTTGTTTCCTATTTTGTGCCAGTCCCAATACGCTTATTGCGCTTTTTCCCCCCTAGTTGGGAGCGCGGATTACTGATAAGTTTTAAATAGAATATAATAAAATAAACAAGAAGAAATATCAATGTATTAAATTAAAATTGACAAGTTTTATTATTTAGCAACATAGCTGATTAATAATGAATGATTTTAAACTTATTCAACGATTTCCTTATTGAAAAATTAAGCACATGTTTATTATTCTCCTTAATTGTCCTCGGCTAGAGTTTGACTTTTTTGTTTTGGGCATTGTTTTTGTAATATCCGAATTTTTGTTTCGTGGTAATGAAGTCAAGTGAGAATTAGCCGTTGACTTGATAATATCCGTTGGGAAATTGGGCCTGATTCTTTGTTCCTCTATTAGGCCCGACTGAATTAGAAAAAAAATTAATACTAAATTCAATATAGAGTTAATTTAAAACTTATAAAAAACTTTAAAAATTATATTTTTGTATACTTTTATAAATATTCTATACAGATTATATTAGATATATTAATTTTTCAAGTATTACTTTTCTTTTGTAATTCGGTCTTAAGTATATGTGTTTGTAAATAAAAGTCAACATTAAATACCAGAAATTAATTAAAATGATAAATCCAAAAATTTAAGTTTTATAAGAATTGTCTCCAAAATGTTAAACATAATAATATTTTAACAACCAATATATGTATAATTTTCATTTCTGAAGATTTTGGGAAAATTACAAATAAAGACCCCCAATATATAAAATGGCAATCAGGCACATTGAATTTGAAAAATTGCTGCAGAGGACTCGGTCACAATTTGTAATTATGAAATGTGTGTTAAATGGCTGAAATGCCCTTCACTTATTTGGGAAAAAAAAAACCCATTCGCACTCTCCCCCCCCCAAAACGCTCGATAACTTCCCTCTGCTCTATATCCCCCTGACCATTCTCTGCACTCTGTCTATTTTTGCGTAGGAGTTTGCTTCCATTTTGCGGCGAGAGAAGTATTGTGTGAGAGAAGAGTGTATTTACTGTGGGAGAGAAGAACAGAGTGGTACTGGAGTAGTGATCTATCGGCATTGTCGAAGGCAAGGGAGGAGGTAGAGGCATCATGACAGTCGTGTGTCGCTATCAGAGTTAACAGCAGCATTTGCCGACAAAATCTGCTGGTAAGTTTCAAGCTTTGGTTTGTTTGTGTTGGTTGCTGCCTATGTGATACATTAAGAAGAGGGAATGCGTTTAGGGCAGGAAAGTATATATATGTTTTTTTCTATTTAATAAGTTGTGACTGATTGGCGAAAAATAGTTATCTGTGGAAGAAGATGGGCGAATGGGTTTGGGTGGGAAGGGAATGAGAAGATCAGTTAGGAGGATGACAAGATTAGTTTGGGAAATGACGATACTGGAATGGGTAAAGTGCAAATTGAATTGGTTAACTGTTAATTAATTTGAAGAGATGTTAAAGTCTTAGTCTGGTTTAAAATGACAAAATGGAAGTAAGAGGATTGACAAGTTAATAATATAAAATAACAATATGTAATCGACAAGTTGGTAATAGGAAATAACAAGTTTAATATAATGAATAACAAGTTATTAAGCAGTTGGGAATAAGACGGTTGTCATAGGTTCCTAATAAGTTAACAATAGAAAATGACAAGTTTAAAAATGACAATAACAAGTTGGGAATAAGAAAGGCGAGTATGACAATTAGAGAACTTTATAATCTAAAATAACTAGTTGATAATTGTAAATGACAAGTTAATGATGAGAAATAACAAGCATGAGAAGTAGTTGAGAATAACAAGTTTACTTTGAGAATTTGACAACTTGCTTATATGAAATTACAAGTTCACGTTTCGAAATAAGAAGTCAATGGTGGTGATGTAAGAAGGCTGTTGGTTACAAAATAAGTTGTTAACAAAGGTGATAGTTAGTTAGTAAATATGGTTGTGAAGGATTGTATGTTGAATGCTTTGCAGGAAAAGGAAGATGGCATCAGAGGGAGCATCTGGATCAAAAAAGGCACACAATGATTGGTTGTTATTCAGAAGTGAGTTTATGGCCACAATAGCTGACCCTGACATGACAGCCAAACAAAAAAGAGATGTTGCGTTAAATGCATGGAAAGCTCCGGCCGCTGAAGAGAAGATGAGGTACATCGAGGAGGTGAAGAAAAGAAGGCCACAAAAGGGAGAAGAGGATAAAAAGAAACATGTCCCATCATTTCTAACCCGAGTGTCCCTGAAGGGTTTAAAAAAATTACTGCACTTTGTGAACAATAATGAAGACTTAAGGGAGAGGGTTGAGAGGATGGGTTTCGGGAGGCTGTTGAAGGTTGGATTAAAGAGATTACCCCGTGATCTCATTGTGACCATGCTGAGATCATATGACCCGCCAACGCATCAATTTACAATTAGGGGCAAATCAAAGGAAATAGGAGCAGAAGATGTTGAGCAACTGCTACGAATCCGTCACGGTGGGGAGGAGGTGAAAACTAAAGCTGAAGATGGTAATGCTACGTATCAGGAGTTGAGGAATGAATATCAGAAAGTGTCATTCAACAAAATACTAAAAGACATTATTTCAGGGGAGGAGGATCACAGATTTAAGTTTTTATTTGTGTTGTACACCCTGGGTACTTTTCTATGTCTGAAATCAAGCTCAGAAGTGAGTGAGAAGTTGGTCAGAGTCATGCGCTGCACAATGGATGACTTTGGATAGTATGATTGGGCTACCTATATTATAAAGGACCTTTGGAAAGAAATGGGAGACTATGTCAAAGGGTACAGGCAGGGCAATGAAGGGCAGGGGAGCAGCATTGTTTGTGGCTACATATACTTGCTTCTGGCATTACTATTTTGTTTGTCATTTTGTTTTCATTTGATTACCGATGTGCATAATATTAATGTTATATATATGTGCCTGGCTTCCAACTTTTCTTGTGAGCATTTTAGCCTCAACACGCCTGTAAGTCAAGAGTCCACTATTGCAATTGAATACTAGATTGATGAGAAAATAAAAGAATTGACCAGCAAGGAGAGGAAGAGTGTTAGGGGACTTATGTATAGAGAAAAAGGCAGTGACGTTGTGACAAGGAAAGAAGAGAGGATAATTGTAGAGTTTTTGGACCCGGTATGTGGTATAATTGGTAAACTGAAGTTTTTATTTCGTAACCTGAACTTGTTATCTGCCATAGTAATGTTGTCATTTCCTATACTGAAGTTCTAATTCGTTATAGTGACATAGAGCTTTGTCATTGCTAAGTTGTAATTTGGCAAACTCAAGTTGTTATTCACAATACTTATGTTGTGATTGGCTATATTGAACTTATCAATGGGTATACTGACTTGTAATTTTGTATACTAAACTTATCATTCGGTATAATGAACTTGTCATCTGTCATACGTGAGTTGTGATTTGATTTACTAAACTTGTCATTCAGTATAATGAACTTGTCATCTACCATATGTGAGTTGTGATTTGTTTTACTGAATTTGTCGTTCAGTATAATGAACTTGTCATCTGCCATACGTGAGTTGTGATTTGATTTACTGAACTTGTCATTCAGTATAATGAACTTGTCATCTGCCATACCTGAGTTGTGATTTGGTTTACTGAACTTGTCATTCGGTATAATGAACTTTGATCTGCCATACCTGAGTTGTGATTTTGTTTACTGAACTTGTAATTCTGTATAATGAACTTGTGATCTGCCATACCTGAATTGTGATTTGGTTTACTGAACTTGTCATTCGGTATAATGAACTTGTCAATATGCCATAGTGAAGGTGTCATTTCCCATAGTGAACTTGTTATTGTATATACTTGATTGATTAATGTCTTTTGCATGCAGGAGCTAAAGAAGTTACGCGAGTGCCTAATGAAGAGGATAGAGGAAAGGCAAAAGATGCTGATGAAAATGGTGGATGAGGAGCTGGTAAAGGTGCAGATCCCAAGACAGGGAGATGGCGGGAAGGGTAAATCAAGAGGAAAGGCTTAGGTTGAGACAATGCCTATAAACATAAGTGACTCTGAAGATGAGTAGGACATGCGCAACAATGATGACACAACTGAGGAAAAGGAGAAGGATGAAGTAAACAGTGAAAATGGAGATAGTCATGGGAAGGGTGACATAGAGAATGAAGAGAAGGAGGAAGAGGGTCAAGGGGATGGCGATGACAGGAGCGAAGGGGACATGGAGGACAAGGGTGATGGGGAGGGTGATGACAAGCAACCACTTGTGATGAAGAATGCAATACCCATAACTAATTCCCCTATGGAAGTGGCAGGCACTATTATAGGTAATGATGCAGAGGGTGACGTACCTACAGCCAGTCCCCCTAGGGAAGTGCTACCCAGTATTAAAGGTGATGAGGTAAAGGGTCACTCACTAATGGAGGTATCCCCCTAGCCATTATTGAATATGTTGGGCCTGATCCAGAACTTGTATCTGTGGAAGCACAACAACTAAAGAGATCTACTAGGGTTTGGTTCAGTAAGATCAAGTCTCCTTGGTGGGAGTTGAAGGCACAATCAAGAGTGAAGAGGCCTATGGAGCCTAAGGATATTTTTTTCAACTTAGTCAGTCGAGCTGTCAATGGTGATGAGGGCTAGATGTAAGTGAAAATATTTGTTAACTACATGTTAAAATAACACATCTGGTAACTCACTTAAATATATTTTAGTCCTTTGATCAGAATGTTCGATGAAGACA